CCTGCTAGATCATGTTAGGTGACACATTGGACTTGACATATTATTACTACTTATGTGTATGTTTTATTAGCAGTAAGGTTGAACATTTTCTTGTATATATATTCCAATAGAACTTTCATGTTACTTCATTTTAAATTGTCCTTTTTCTAAATATTTGAGTTTTTTTTGCTTTTTAATTTGTCTTTTGAGTTTGGCAGAGTGACGAGGAGAGATTGAAAGAGGAAGAAGGGGGACAGACATCATGAATTATTCCCCAAATGACCAGAAAAGTTGCAATTAGATCAGACCCAAAGTCAGGTGCCAAAACTGCACTGGGTGATAGGAACCCACATATACTACCTTCCCAGGAGCAGTAGCAGGAAGCTGGATCAGAAGTGAAGGTGGACCTTCCAGGAACTCTGATAATGGGATGCTGGTGTATATAAGTCCACATAGAGACTTAACCTACTGTGCCACTATGGCTATCCCCACCCAACTGTCCTTATAACTGCCATGTTTGCTACAAACTTTGTTTTTGGTATGCCTTTAATTTCAACTTCTGATATTTTTGGTGGGCAACTTATAATGTACTGGTAGAGTCATTCTTTTTATTGTGGTGAAAGTGTAAGGTTAGGATCTAGATAGTTTTTGCTCCAAATAAAAGATTGTCTTAGAGTCATGTATTAGACACTCTTCATTATTTTGGATGACCACTCATTGTATATTAAATTACAGCATATATTCTCATTTATTTGGGTGTTTTGTTTTCTACAAGCAACAATTATTTCAAATACTGCACATTCAAAATAGGTTTTATAAGTTGGTGGGATGATATTTTCCTTCTCTTTAAGATTCCTATTTAATAAACTCTGAGGTTCTTTTTTCTCTGCCTGCTTTCTTCCCAAATGAAGGCTTAATTTTTCTAAATTGCAGAACAAAGGTAAAACTTTAAAAGTTATAGCAAATTTATAAATAAGTTTCAAGAAACTGGACATGTTTACAATGCTAAAATGTTAAATATTTCTTTCCTTGTATGCCTTCAGGGTTTGAGAATTTTATTACATTCCCACAAGAATTTCATGTAACTTTTCCTAGGACATTTGGTTTTTGCTTCCATCTCGTATGGTTCTTTTATGCTTGTGTTATGATTATTTATTAATGTCATAAAAGAAAGCTATTGATCTTATGCATTTATCCTATAGCCTATTTTTATATTGACCACTCACCAATTATCTGAGTTTTCAGCTGGTTACCTTACAGATTCTGCATAATGTGACTTCTGCCTGCTTTGTAAAAACTGTATCTTATTCGAAAATAAGTCTGTTCTCATTTCTTACTCCATTAGATCAGTCCTTGAGTGATTAATAACATTATTAAAACTGCCTTTTTATTTTTCTCCTGGTTTCATTGAAGGTAACTCAGATGTTTCTTCAGAGTATTTATAAGCAGTATAGAGTGAGAGTTTCTCATTCTTGCTTTAGAGTCACTCTATTTAAACTCTTTTTTTTTTCAATCGTGGTGTTGTTTTTAATCAGGAAAGTTGGTTCTCATTGTTACCATTCCCTGGCACGGAGAGAGGAAGAGAAGCACTCGGAGGACAGAAGGGTGGCTGCTTCTCCATTGGGTCCCCACTAAACTCTCACCAGGAATTTCCCGCAAGCCACGTTGGTCCGTTCTGTCTGCAGTGGGCTGATCCCCAGTACACCCTTCCAACCTTGATGCACTTTCATGCACGCCGAGCCTAACCTGTGTCACACTGGGCACAACAGCAGGTTAAGCTCTGGCCTGCAACACCAGCAACGCATGTGCATGCCGGTTTAGTTCCTGGCTGCTCCACTTCCAATCCAGATTCCTGTTAATGCACCTGGGAGGCAGGTGATTCTGACTCTGTGGGTCAGAATCATAGCCTGAGACCAGGAGGCCGGCACCCCCATAGAGGACCCAGGACTACAAGCGTCCCAGTGCGGCTGAAGTGGTAGCCAGGGTTCCATGGGCTCTTCTGCCCTCCCCCATTTGAGACAGGAAGATGTGAGGAACTCAGGAACCCCTTCCTCCTAAGGGGGCTCACTACCCCCAAGGAACACACACCTGAAGGAATGCCGCCTGGCTGTCTGGGCTTGCCGGCAGGTGAGGAAATGAGGGCAGGTTAATAATCACCCACTCACACACAAATCTCGTGCACACCACAGCAAGATGCTGAATTTAAAACAGGCTTGAGAGCCAGCCAGCCCTTGGTTCATGTTCTACCTCCACTCTCCTGCTAGCTATTGGCAGCATCAGCTGATCACCCACGCTGAGGCATAGTGGATGTGTGTGCCCACGCAGCCCCAATGTGCCAGCCTCGCCATCCAGTAACAGGCCATTCATTGATTTATTCATTCACTTATTGACTCTCCCTTGCTGTGAATATAGTTCTCTTTGCTGTTGAGCCTGAACATTAGAATTTACAATGAAATTTTTTGTCAAGGCTTCACTGAAGGGTATTTTACTTTCCATGATTTCAGGCAACTGTCATTTCAACCTTCTTTTCTCCATAATTCCCAAATCAGTGCAGAGAGGGGCAGGTACAACTGTCAGAAGTCAGTACAGCTGCAGTGAATCAAATGCACATAGCCATTGGTCTTATTAAGTTCACATGTAAAAGATATCTGGTAGACATATACCAGACACTCTGCCACTGTCATTTCCATTCCATGGGGCATCATTCTGTAAGGAAGACTGATGTCAGCCTGGCATAGAAGCAGGGCAGTGGGCACCACCTGGTGCCCCCTTCTCAGTTCAAAACCATTTCTATCAGACTCCAAGGGTTCTGTTCCCTATCGGTTTTTGCCATGCAGCAAATCTCCCTTTCACTCACTGGATTAAATTTACCACCATTTTATCAGCTGACATGATGTCTCCTGACATTTTGATTTTTCTAACTCCCAAGACATTATGTTTTTAAGATTTCTTTATTTTTATTGGACAGGCAGATCCACAGAGAGAAGGAGAGACAGGGAGAAAGATCTTCTATCTGCTGATTTACTCCCCAAATGGCCTCAATGGCCAGAGCTGAGCAGGGAACTGGAAGGGAAGTGGAGCAGCCAGGACATGAACCAGAACCCATAGGGGATGCTGATGCATGCCAGGCAAGGACAGAGACGCTATTGTGCCAGGCCCCCATTGTTTGGATTTATAGGTAATAATTATCCATTTTTCAGATCTGCTTGGGTAGTCATTTTATGGTCTTTGCATTGCCACATACATCTTCAACGTGTTTATTTAAACACGTTCTGTGTTGGATAATGCAGGGCCTCTGTGCAGGTCTCCTGTCGCTTCTCGGCCTGTGACTGAGTCAGTGTAGGTCTCCTGTGCTAAGTTGTTCTTGCTGACTTGTGGCGCTGTGGGAGTCTTTGTCTCATGATCTGTGTTTGCCTGTATTTCTTGGCAATTATCAGTGGAGTTATCAGAGCCCTGCTGGAAAGCAGGAAACGAGCTCCCCAGAGAGGAAGAGGGACCTTCACCCGCTTCACTGAGTGTTTGGGAAAGCCTACCAACTCTTGAAATCACTTGTGGGGTTGAGGATGTCAAGAATGAACACGCACAGCGTACACGCTTGTCTGAAGGCTTACATGAGGAAAGGGAAGATCCACCTTCCCCACGACACCTTTTCAGTTCAAGCTCTCTGGAGGGCTAAGGTCAGGTTCAGATTAATTTCTTATTCACTTTATAGGTGGATCTGTCAAGTTTCCATCATCTGTCACAACCTTAAAAACATATGTTTTTATGTCTGGAAATTTCACTGGCACTTTCTTTCTGGTTTTAGAAAAAGCAGCAGCATCAGGAGGTGGTTGGCCTTAGCAGTCAGTGCAAGGAGCGACTGGTGAATAGGATTGACTCCAACTTCCATTGGTCATCTTTGTGTCTCTTGTATGCAGAACCTGAGCTGGAATCTAAGTGCGAGAAGGACACCTGGAACAATGGCAGGCACAGGTTCTTTGCCAACCCACCCACACTCCGGCTCTGCAGGGTGTTTGTCTCCCGCACTGTGGCCCTGGTTCCTCCCCAGCAGCTCGGCAACTTATCTGAAGCCTCACATTTTGCCCTACTTTTCCAGCTTTCTCCTATCACATCTGCAGAACCATCCTCCCTGAATCTTCCCCATCCCAGAAATATTCTTGAGGAGTTAGTCTGGCCTTTGAGCTGCTCCCTGCCAGGCCCTTGACCAGCTCATAGCCTCTTAACCTTAATTCACTCAAGAATCACCTCTCCGATCCAAACAAAATAACCTTGTCTTGGGTCCGGCACAGTAGCCTAGCAGCTGACATCCTCACCTTGCACGTGCCAGGACCCCAAATGGCCACTGGTTCTAATCCCATCAGCCCTGCTTCCTTCCCATCCAGCTCCCTGCTTGTGGTCTGGGAAACAGTCGAGGATGGCCCAAAGCCTGGGTCCCTGCACCTGCTTGGGAGACTTGAAAGAGCTCCTGGCTCCTGGCTTTGGATAAGCTTAGCACTGGCTGTTCCTACTGCTTGGGGAGTGAATCAATCGACAGAAGATCTTCTTCTCTGTCTCTCCTTCTTCCTGTATATCTGATAAAAATTAAAATAAATCTTTTTTTTTTAAAGCTAGCATTATCTTTTTCCCATCTCTTCCTTCTCTCCCCATGTGTCTTTTCCTATGTCCTCTCCAAAACCTGACTTTTTTTTTATTTAAATTTTATTTTCAATATTGTTCACATAGTTGAGAATGGATGTATGTCCATGTGGGCCTCTGATTAGAAGGCCCTACTGTTGTACCCAAAATGTCATGATTACATTTTTTCTGAGAGCCTCAATCATTTACTCATATTTATTCCATGAGATGTCAGCTCTTGGGTCGCCCATGCACAGGGGACAGACTGTTCCAAGTGCAACCTGTCATGGTACAGTCCTTTCATTCCATGTACTTGTTGTTTGTTTGCTTCTAGTCCAAGAGGCCCAGAAACAAACCTGGAGGTGAGAACTGAAGCAAGCGGGAACCATGTTGGCCTTGTGCATTATGAAGAAGCAGACTCCATGGGTGGAAAACCCACCACCAGTGCTGATGAGGAAGAAGGTCCCCAGATTTGTCGTGTTTGTGGGGACAAGGCCAATGGCTACCACTTCAACGTTATGACATGTGAAGGTTGCAAGGGCTTTTTCAGGTAGAGTTATCCTTCAGTCCTCAAGCACCTGCCACCACTGGCAAGCTGGGCCACATCTCACCCTGCTCTACCATCAGCCCTCGGGCAATGCCTCAGGGCCTCCACTTGACTCTTCTCCCAGGCTCAGGGTGTGGGTTAGGGCCCCAGTCAAAGACTTCTAATTTGTCTCCCTGGAGCCATTTATATCTCAGAAAAAGCCTCAGCTTCAGTTTTATAATTTAACTCAGGAAAGCTGCCCTTTCTGTTAAGATGCATTCTTGAAATACAAGAGCAAATCAGTCACCAAAAGAGTACAAAATTCAAAAATCCACCTGGCAAATATTCATATAGATTTTTGTGGAATGCTCACGTCAAGAATGCCAGTAAGTAGGTGAAAGAAAATAAACTCCCTTACCAACTGGGAGGATCAGAAAATGAAGGCCTGAAAAGTCCCAGCTTAGAGCACAGCAGGCCTGGACAGACATGCCCATGCTGTCCAGCTCAAGAATCTGAATGGGCAAAGCCAGCCCAGCGAGGCCACCTCCATGCAGCACTCAGACCAAGGAGGAAGCAAGGCAGACCAAGAAAGGTGGAGACAGGAGGGGAGAAAGGAATGCATGAGGAGAGTTCCAGGTCAGCCCATGCCTACTCTCAAACTGGTCACCTGCAAGGAACACCAGGAGTCTCTGAGCTGGGCACATGCCACATGAAGGGGTGGGGGTGGAGACCTGCCTGGAACATGTGTTCAAGCAGCCCTGTGCAGATGGCAGATGGTGCAAGGACCCCCCCATGCAGATGGCTGTGGGGGTTCCTCTACTTCCTACTCCCTTTCAGCTGCTATTGTTGGGACTCCTGGAGGGAATGGCAATGTGCTATAGTGGGTAAGAGCGTGGATTTGACGAAGGGCTGACCTGAGTTCAAGTTTACGCTATTTCCCTGGAGAAAGATGGTGATGGATCTTCCCTGAGCCTTGATCTTTCTTCTCCTCACCAGGCAGATGACATGATGAATTCCACAGGGTTTTGACAACTAACTTTGCAAAGCTCTGTAAAATGTCTATATGCGCTAGTAGTGTACCTCCCCTGTGATTCCCCCTTCCCCTCTTACACCTGTTGGGACGGGGGTCTTAAAATACCTGGGCCAGCAGGGTGGGGAAAAGTGCCTGTAAAGAAGTGACCCATAGGTTGGTCCCTATGGAATGCGGCAGTGTGGGAGGCTCAGGTCCTGGAAGCTGCAAGACACAGTCTGGAGTTATAAGACAAGGGTGCACAGCTCAACCACCCAGTCCAGTCCTCACTCTGCTGCGCCCTTGGACTGCTTCCCATGTTCCAGGGCTAGCTTTCTTCCTTTGCCACACCATCAGCCCACAGCCCTGGGCATTGGCCACAGTCACCCAAAGGTAGCCATCCCGCGGGCTGCTGGGCAGAGGCAGCACCCAGCGCTTGTCTCCGTTACAGGCCTTCAGGCTCTCGGCCTCTCTCACAGTTGGGAGCCTCCACTCTGTCCTCCTAGGTACACTCCTGGGGTCAGTGTCCTCAGATCTCCTTCTCTGAGAGGGAGAAATCTGGAAAGAGGCCCATCTTTGTGCAAACAGCAAGGATGTGGAACAGGAGGACACAGCAGGTGCAGGGACAGCAGGGCCTGGGGTGTGGAACTAAGTGTCCCGGAGAGAGTGGCTCAGCGGCTTCTGCCGGGCAACTGGCAGAGAGGGCCACCTTTCTTGCTCCCCTCGTCCCGGGACCCCAAGGAAGAAACCATACCCGCACCTCGCCCATGAAAACCAAAGGCAATGCCGGCTGGCTGTAGGGAGCGTGGGAGAGGGAAGGGCGCAGCCCTGAAGCAGCCCCCAAGACGTGGGCTCTCGTTCTCCCACAGGAGGGCTGTGAAACGCAACGCCCGGCTGAGGTGCCCCTTCCGGAAAGGTGCCTGCGAGATCACCCGGAAGACCCGACGACAGTGCCAGGCCTGCCGCCTGCGCAAGTGCCTGGAAAGCGGCATGAGGAAGGAAAGTGAGTGGTGGGAGTGGGACGGGGAGGGGGCCGGGAGGGAGGGGTGCCCCGCACAGGTGCGCCCAGGAGCGGCGCAGGGACGCTGGGGTGCAGGACAAGTCGCGTGCGCAGTGCAAGGGCGCGTGGCAGTTTGTAGCAAAGGGATCAGAGCCAGCCGCATGCAGGGGGAGCTTGCGGCTGTGCTGCCAATGCACCTGGGTGGAGGGCACGCCCCCAGCTCTCGGCTCTGGGAGGCTTGGGCATCGCCAGCCAAAACCCAGTCCCGTCTCTCTTCTTGGGCCTTGTGATTCTTTTTGGTCCCTTCGTAGCTGTCACCCTGGTGCTGCAACCCAGCGAGGGTGGGCAGACGCAGATACTGCAGACTACCAGGATGTGATAGCAACCCGGACTTTTCAGCCAGCCAGCTCGTAATTAGAGGAGCTGTTTGCCATAGGTGATTCCTGCTTGTTCAGCCTTAAGTCTACTAGCATTTATGCTCCCTGGTTCACTCAGAAAGCCCCCCGAGGGGCCGGAGGCTACAGTATCCAGTGCTTTGCTGGTCTGCAGCAGGCTTGTGGCCTGCTGGAGCTCACGGTGTTCTCCAGACACTGTCAGGTAGTATGTCCTGCCACCTTTGGAAAGCTCCTCACTCAGTAGTGGGGTGCAGAGAGCCCTGTGGTTCTCTACCCTCTGAGCACCCCAGCAGCCGTGGCTCCAGAAATTCACCTATGAATCTGAGGCTCTAGGCGCAGGAGGCACAGCTGGAACTGCCATTTCTCACCAAGCCGTGGGTCCAGGTCTCTAGGGACTTGCTGTACGCACAGCCCTTAGGGTCTCATTCTAACAGGGGGAGAGGCAGACCTCTCTGCTCTGGTCTGCAAGGGAAGCCGCTGAGGTCCACAAGGCTAAGGAGCTTGTATAAGGTCATAGTCAGCTGCAAGGCCTTCATGCAATCCCAGTGCCCTTGAATGCTGATACCCCACATTCGCCCAGGGTCCCCCCTGGGGTCACAAGCACACCACAGAGGAAAGCAGGGCAGCCCCACCTCCCGTCTGCCTGCACACAGGTGTTCCTCTAGAGGACCCACTCCCCTTGTCCCCCTAAGGATGGACAAGGGGAAGCTGCTTGTCACCATCCGTCCCCTTTCACTTGCAGCATTCCTCTGCAGAGAGAGGGTTCTCTAGGAGACTCTCCAGGAGCTGCAGGCAGCCTGGGGGTGGGTGGGGGACCTGAGTGCTGAGCCTGCTCTGATGTCCCTGCAGTGATCATGTCCGACGTGGCCGTGGCACAGAGACGGGCTCTGATCAAGAGGAAAAAGAGAGAGCGGATGGAGGCTCAGCCACCGGGCATGCAGGGGCTGAGCCAGGAGCAGCGGCTCATCATCGAGGAACTGATGGACGCGCAAATGAAAACCTTCGACTCTACTTTCTCGCATTTCAAGAATTTTCGGGTAGGAGGCCTCCAAACTGGACTCAGGATTCCTCAGAATCCCAGGGCTTGCACAGATGTAGTCTCTGGGTCATCAGTAGCCCTGGGGCTGTTAGAAATGCAAATCCCTGTTAACTCAGTCCTGCTTAATTTTAAATTGTGGGGTGGGCAAGCATCTCCCCTGCATCCCCCTCCCCTTGCCTGGGCTCATGTGTGAGAATGGGTACTCTGTGCTTTCCATAGCAGATGGGAATTGGGTGTGAGTGATGACTGGAGGGAAAGGCTAATTGACTGCTTTGTGCTGCTGCATTCATTGCTTTGTGAACATAGGGTCAAGGCCTGATGGGCTCAGGGGTGGTATGGGGGGTGATCTGTATGAACAGGTGTTCCCAGCTCAGAAAACCACATTAGCCCAGAGGCCTCAAGTTAGCTCTGGCTATTTGTAGCTCCCCAAGCCTTCTCTCTGAGTCTTTAGGGCCCAATGTCTAGGGCTGCTTGGGCCATAGTAGGGTGAACACCTCCTCTTCCTTCCATTCTGACTGGGTGAGGATGTGTGCAACTGCTACTAAAGAGATCCTGAAAATGCCATGTGGTAGAAAGCCAGGGAGGTGAAATAAGTGCTGTGTGTGTGTCTTCGCATGTGTGTATGAAGGAGAGGCACCTGCAACTGTGCATTTTCCTGGACTGTGGCTGGCTGGCTGACTGGCTCACTGGGGCTGGGAGCAAAGGAGGGCAAGTGTGGGCTATGCAACACATGCTGTGTCTTCTCTCCACCTCCTGGCTTGCTTCCCAGCTGCCAGAGGTGTTTGGCAGTGGCTCTGAGATCTCAGAATCTCTTCAGGCCCTATCGGAGGAAGAAACAAACAGGTTGAGACAGTTCCAGGAAGAGATGGGCACCCTGAAGCTCTCGCTGCAGCTGCGGGGAGAGGACGGCAGCGTGTGGAACTATAAGCCCCCAGCTGACAGAGGTGGCAAAGAGATCTTCTCTCTGCTGCCCCACTTGGCTGACATGTCAACCTACATGTTCAAAGGCATCATCAACTTCGCTAAAGTCATCTCCTACTTCAGGTAGGACATGAAGCTGGGTGAATGGGTGTGGGAAGGAACAAGAAGTGGCCGAGTGGCTCAAGGACAGGGAAGGAGAGCCCTCTGGATGTGTGAGACATTGGCACCAGAGCATCTGATTTCACTCTGCCCCCAGCACACCAGTGCTGCTGGAGAACAGGGACCTTGCTCTGTGTCTCATTCACTTTGTGCTTATGGGCCAATCGCAGGACAGCCTTTCCATCTGGCAGATAGCAGCCAGTACGTCATAATTTACAGGGCTGTTGTGTGGCACAAGAAAACATCTGAGCAACACACAGCATGTGGTAGGCTTCAAATTCCTTTCCCTATTCCCCCTCTTAAAGGCAGGAATCCCAAGTCCACAGTTCCAGTGCAAAGAATGAGATGGAAGGAAATGAAAGGAAGTGTAGAGAGTGAAGGCAAGAGATTAGAGGGCAAGGAACAGACGCTGCATCTCCAGCAGTTGGCTGCCAAGAGAAAGCTGAAAAAGTCCTGAGGTCACGTGATGGGGGATCCTGAGTCTCCGCTAGGCTGGGTATGGAAGCAATGACTTTGGGGCAACCAGAGTGAGCAGAAAACTCCTGTCCTTTGAGGAGCAGTCTGTCGGGGTTGCAGATGGTGTTGCAGTGTCGGCCCAGGGGTTGGCCCCATTCATGTATTGAGCCCGGTAAAGGGGGGCTGAATCCCACATGAAAGGAGGCCCGAATTTCACCGTGGCCTCACGGGTGACATGAATAACTTATGTACTGGAGAGAGGATGGCAACAGGTTGAAATGGGTTCAGGGTGTACTAAGTTAGGTCAAGGGAGCAGGGATAGAAGCCTGCCTACCAGTTGGGCACTAGCAGATCCCTGTGGACATGTCTTGTTCCACCAGGGCAGGGGGCATTTGTTGCCTCTCCTAACCATTTTTTAAAAAAAATATGTATTTATTTGAGAGGCAGAGAGAGAGATCCTATGTACTGGTTCATTCCAGGGCTGGGACTGGACTGGGCTGAAGCTGACAAGCCAGGAATTCAGCATAAATCTCCCAAGTGGGTAGTAGGAACCCAGCTCCTTGAGACATCTTTGCCACCTCCTGGAATCTGCATTAGCAGGAAGGTGGAGTGAGGAGTTGGAACCAGGCATCTGACCACCCAGGTGCTCCAGTGTGTGATGTGGGAGTCTGAACAGGCATTTCAACAGGTGTCTTAATTATGAGAGTAAAGGCTTTGGTGACCATCAGTCCTGAGCACAAAGACCCCAGGCCTCACTATTTCCTTCACTCAATATACAGAAACTGAGCTTTACCGAGGTTAAGACATCTGTACAAGGTCACAGGTAATCAGTGGTAGATGACAGACTTGGAAGTAGCAGGGTTCAAACTTCAGAATTGACCAGGTCCTGATGCAGGCCCTGGGAAGACATGGAAGGAGCGCAATGTCAGAACATTTGTAGCTTAGCATTGTGGAGTCAGAACGAGGGTGGGCATGAGGACCACAGAGCCTGAATTTCTAAGATCATCATTGCACCAAGGCTTCCTGAAAATCCAACCAGCCAAATGGACCTCACTCCTAGGCTCCCAGAGATTACTCCATGTCAGGAGTGACTTCCTCAGTGAGGAGGGATGAGAAGACTCTCAGTGGAACCACGAAGAGCAGAAACTTGCTATGCAGCCCCAGAAAGCAGGACTCAAGACCTCCAGGCTGTCTGGAGAGAAATGGTAGAAATCAGATTGTGTACCTGTTGAGTACAACAGAGAGAGCAAGAAGCAGGTGTGGCAGGCTGCCTCGAGCTGGTGCTAAAGGAGTGGCACCTGCAGAGGGTCTCCATTCTCAGGAGGCTTTGTGGGAGGTAATAGCTTGGCTTGAAAGACTAGCAGGGCTTACCAAGAAAAGCTTCAAGAACAACCATTCCCAGAGTGGTGGGGACTGAAGCAGAACATGAAAGGCCAGGGGCCAAGGAGTCAGGTATAGGTCCATGGCCAGGTAGGGAGTTGGAGGAGCTAGGTCAGGCTAGCTGGTCAGTGAAGGCCTCCAGAGAGGAGAGGAACATGGTAACGGAGAGTTATGTGTTGAGATGGGAGGCAGCCAGCAGGCATCAGGAGGAGCGTTGATGGTTGGACATGGGAGCCAACCTCACTTCACTCGCGTCCCTCCTCCATTTCCTCGATTATGGTGGTAAGTGCTGGTGCTGTGCTGCGGAAGCTGTCATCCTCCCCATTTCCCCTTCCTCACTGCCAGGGACCTGCCCATCGAGGACCAAATCTCGCTGTTGAAGGGAGCCACCTTTGAGCTGTGCCTGTTGAGATTTAACACCGTGTTCAATGCAGAGACTTGGACTTGGGAGTGTGGCCGGCTGTCCTACTGCTTGGAAACCCTTGAAGGTACCTGTAGGCTGCCTGTCTGCCCTGGCCAAGGGAGAGAAACCAAGCAATGAGGGGAAGGAAGGGCACTACCCTGGGTTTTGTGGGTACTGGGACCAAGGGCAGAAAAACCAGGTGATGGACCCTGCTGAGGGAAGGCTGGGTGTTGGGTCAGCATGCTATAAAGCTGCTCCTGTATCCCATACCCGTTCGCACACAGATGGCTTACAGCAGCTTAACGGGGATCCCTTGCTGAAGTTCCACTACATGCTGAAGAAGCTGCAGCTGCACAAGGAGGAGTATGTGCTGATGCAGGCCATCTCCCTTTTCTCCCCAGGTGATGGCCTCCCCCTGGCTGCCAGCTCCCTGTTCCATTAGCTTGCTGTGCCCTCCCCATGGAAGGTCCCAGACAATACCCCTGCTCCCCCCTCATGCCCAGTCAGCTTGCCAGCCACAGTCCAGCTGTGTTCTTGGGTCAGTGGGCCCATTGCCAGGCCCAGGTCTTCCCTCCCTTCTCTGCCAGCTGATTCCTGCTCTGAAAGGTGGTTAGCTGGCAGCTCCTACTCCTACTTTTTGCCTCCATTGCCTTGCTGTCCCACACTGCTTCCTCCGCTGCCCGCCACTTGCCACCCCCACCTCCAACACACACTCTCTCACAGACCGTCCAGGTGTGGTGCAGCACAGCATGATAGACCAGCTGCAGGAGCAATTCGCCATCACCCTGAAGGCCTACATTGAATGCAATCGTCCCCAGCCTACCCACCGGTGAGCACAGCAGCAAGGGAGGAAGTGTATGGGAGGGCTCTGTCTGTGTGTGCCTAGGAGAGCAGGATAGAGACGGTCATCTTCTCTGAGGCTTCTTGTGTGGTCAATCCTGACTGCCCACCAAGTCACCAGGGAACCACAGCCTGTGTCTGATTGTCAGATGTTTGTCTGCCCAGGGTCTTTCCCAGGCTGCTCATCACAGGGTGCAAAGAACCAGATATTCTTCTGAGTCCCCTGCAGGGTCTTGTAGTAGCAGCTGACAATAGCACAATGATAGCAATGTAACAGTGATAGCATGAGTAATGGTGACTGTAAATAAATGGACCATAGCTACCAGGTACTGACAGGTGTCAATGCTGGCACAAAGAAGCTTGCATAGACTATCACCTTTAATCCTCCAAACACTCCTAGGAAGTGGATACCACCACCATCCGGCAAGAGGGTGAGGTCAAAGGTTCTGCAGGTGGTGGACCTGCCACCAAGTCCATAGCACAAGCACTAGACAACTACTGAATGACTTCTAAGGAAACACACACACACGGGATTGGACAACCCTCAGTGTGTATGGTCACAACTCAGAAAGGACACCTAGGCCTTGGCCCCCAGACTTCACATCTTCACTAACTCTAAGTGCCTAGTCTGATACCCACAGACTCATGAATGAGCCCAAGGCTTTAAGGTGTAGGACCAGCACTGGGTAAACTTCAAACTGCAACCCTTCTTTGGCCCACAGCAGCTTTTGTTTGAGCTCAGTATCCTGGGATGCTGGGGTGGCCTTGTTTGTACTTGCTCTCACCTCCCCAGTGAGCAGCCCTAAAGCTGCAGGTGCTGCTGTCTTTTGCATCATGGGAAGCCGACACTTGTGCTATGTCTGACACTAGATTCAGAGCTAGAGTTGGGCAGGGATTTGTGCTGCAGTGCCCAACCTCCCCAGACTGTTCTGCTTGGACCTGGACTTTGGATTTTAACCAAAGTAATAAGCTGCTCGCTACCTCCTCCTTCCCGCTCCCACCCCTCCGCCCCAGCCACACAATTATCTAAGCATTTGTGTGTGTGTGTGTGTGTCTTAATGTCTTGATCTTCCCACTGAGGTTCCTCTGTGCCAAGACTGAAGTCATGCAGATGGGTGGGAGTAGGGAAGAGTATGGTTGCTACTTGTATCTTGATGTCCGTGCTGCCCTTCTTGTTCCCAGACTGGAAGAGAAGCTTAAGGCGTTCAGTCAGTCAAGCCTCGATTGACTTGAGAGTGGTCTGAGGCTGGTGGCTTGGGCAAAGGGCAGTTGCATCATCACTCTTTCCTCTGGTTGGTCCACAGCTTCCTGTTCTTGAAGATCATGGCGATACTGACTGAGCTTCGTACCATCAATGCTCAGCACACCCAGAAACTGTTGCGAATCAAGGACACACACCCCTTCGCCACCCCCCTCATGCGCGAGTTGTTCAGCACCACAGATGGTTGAGACACTGCTGGCCTTGGGCTAAGCCTCAACAGGGTAGCCAGGCCCACAGCTTTCTGAGCCACCACTCTGGGCTAGACCAATGGACAAGTCAGTGATGCTGTGCCTGCTTCCCCAGGAGACTTGCTGCTGGGCCCTCAGCTGGGAAGGGGACACAGGCCCTCTGTAAGCCCTAACCCCAGTTCTGTCCATAGAGGGCAGTGGCTGCGATCTGGGAATAAACCCCTACACCTCATTAAACTGTCCTAGTAGAAGGACAGAAGGGGTCACTAGGGCATCAGCTGGAGTCTTTTCATTGCTACCTCAAATTCTCTGGCCTCCCACTCCCCACTCATTCCCAACCCCAGCCTCTTGTCCTGTGCTGCTCAGTGGTTCCAAGGCTAGGTTCATCAGCAGGTGCAGTAGCATCTGTGCATGTCTCATAGAGAGAGAGGCTAGGAGGCCTGACCCAAATGTTATAAGCTTGTCATGACCTTATTCTGGGCACATCCCTTTTGTATCTCCACATTTATTCAAACATCTTAAGAAGCACGTAATTTTGGAAGATCTTAAAAAAATTTCATGGAAAATATGAAAAAGAAATCAGGCTTAGATTTCAAGTTTTTTTTTTTTTTTTGTATGCTAAAGTAAACTTAGCTTCTAATTCCATTTTCCAAGACATTTTGAAGAACCCATAAATGCAATCTGAATTGGAGCATCTGACATTGGTTCAGACATGACTGTTATCCTCAGAAAGTTTACTGTTAAGGAAACAAAGCAGAAACATAAATATTTGAATGCAAGAAATTTCTTTGCATGGATGCTGAGCTGTCATGGGTGGTCTGTGGGTTCCCAGGATCCAAGTGAGGATTCCCTAGAACACACATGTGTGGGAGGAAAGCCAGGTACTGTGGCTATGGGGACATTATGTGACTTTGTGGAAGCAGGTGTGCTCCTCATGTGACTGAGCCTGCTTTTGCTCATGAGCTTGATGCTGTGCTGCTCTGGGACAAGGCTGTGGTGGTAGAAGATGTGTCACAGCAGAACCATGTGCATGCATCTGATGTTCTTGTGTGTTCACAAAGCTAAGAGTCTGAAACTGCCTGCTTTGGTTATAGTCATCTTTGAATAAAACACTTTTCAAAATTTGAGGGATTGGTGTTGTGTGGCAAAGTTAAGCTTCTGCCTGCAAAGCTGGCATTCCATATGAGCACAGGTTCTGATCCACCTCTTTGCTAATGAGCCCTGGAAAGCAGCTGAAGATGATCCAGCACAGCCCAGGTGGTTGTTGTGGCCATCTGGGATGACAGCCAGCAGACCGAAGCCCTTGCTGTGTGTTTCTCCCCCCGCCCCCACCTTTTTTTCCTTTTCTTTCTTGGAGACAGCTAGGGCTAGAGATTGAGATGAGGGAGAGGAAAGAGAGAAAGAGGGTGAGAGAGAGGGAGGAGAGAAAAGGAGAGAGAGAAGGGAGGGGGAGAGAGGGGAGGGGGGAGGGGAGAAGAAAGGAGGGGGGAAGAGAAAGAGAGAAAACAAATGAGGGAGAGAAGGAAGTAGGTTGGGAAAGGAAAGGAGAGGAAGAGGATATGAGAGAAAAGAAAGAAAGAAAGAAAAGTCTCCATTAAAAAAAAGATTATCTGAAAGACAAAGAGAGGAAGAGGCAGGTTCTTTTTCAGAAGCCCACAGCTGGACTGGACAGAAGCCACAAGCTGAGAATTCCATCAGGTCTTATGTACTTTGGGGGAGCCCAAGGATTTGAACCGTCATCTAGAGTCTCAGAGTCCACACTAGCAGGAAGCTGGATCAGAAGGAGGCAGGATGTGACCATGAGCATTTCCAAACGGAATGCAGGTGTACCAAGTGCCTGTCCTTTGCATTTTCACAACATTTTAATTGATTCTACATTATTCATGGCACACCTAAAACTCTGGCTTAGCAAATATGTTTCTGGCTAGAGGTGTAAAATTGTTTTGGGTTTCTTTTCTGTGGAAAAAAATGTGTGAGTGAGGAAATAAATATATAACCACACACGCATTATCTATGTATCTACCCTACAGAGAACTTCAAAAACAGCCATGGGAAAGTGGAATTGTAAGTTTATTTTGATGCAAAAGTCTGAAGCCATGCAGTGTTTTCATCACATGAAATTTCCATTAACTTTTGTTTTATGTATATGAATATACTCCTTATAAATTACTTACTGCCCTTTGCCATCTCAAGACTCTCGTTCTAAGAATGCAAGAGTTGATAATTAAACTTGATTTGCTTGTGAAAAGATTTTCTATATAAAAATTCTAAGTCTGTAAGCACTTATATATGGAATAGTTCAATAAATTCTAAATGTGTAATATCTGGTGCAAATGAAACTATAAAGGAACTGGATTTTAGTAACAAATGATTAATTGCCTAAATTTTACCGTTCTTTTTTTTCAAGCAGACCAAACTCTGAAAACCTGAGAAATCATCAATAGAAAACAAAGCAAGTCAACACATTCCCTGACACATCTTCAGATTTAGCAGCCTTTTCTTTTAGAAAGGAGATCCATTTTTAGAAAAGAGATTGATGGGAAGAAAGAGTTCCTCTCTTCAAATTATATAGCTTTTGCTCTTGGTTTTGTCTATAGATTCCGAAGTGTAAATTTCAATTTAGAAATATCATTTAATTGTGTTTGTAGGTCATATGCATATCCCTTCACTCATGAAAGCAACATCACTGTTACTCATTCAAGAGCCTGAATTTACAATGTCAGACCTAGGGTAGGGAAAGATGAGGGTAAGGCTAGCTCAAGATGGGTTTATGTGAGGCCTAGCGGCTAACGTCCTTGCCTTGAACGTGCCAGGATCCCATATGGGCACCGGTTCTAATCCTGGCAGCTCCACTTCCCACCCAGCTCCCTGCTTGTGGCCTGGGAAAGCAGTTGAGGACGGCCCAAGGCTTTGGGACCCTGCACCTGTGTGGGATACCCTGAAGAAGTTCCTGGATCCTGGCTTTGGATTGGCACAGCATCAGCCATTGCGGCCACTTGGGGAGTGAATCATCGGAGACGGAAGAGCTTCCTCTCTGTCTCTCCTCCTCTCTGTATATCTGATTTTCCAATAAATTCATAAATCTTTAAAAAAAAAGATGGGTTTATGAGGCATACTCACATCTCCTGGTAATGATTTGAAAAGCACGCAAGTTCCTGAACATTGAATTCATATGCACACCTTACTGTAACCAAAAAGACTAAATGCAATAATTCCAGATTCTCAGTAAAATGCACTGGAGAGCAAACACTGGATACTTCTTTTCAGTAGTTTTGAGCAGCTCAAGTTTATCGGACTAGGATTCAGTCTCCACTTTCCTACTGTCAAACATCTTTCATTCCTCCCTTACCTGAACTTTTTAAATATTAAAATTTATTGGTTGAGTTAGAGAGAGGGAAACACAGAACTTTCCTCTGTTGGTTTACTCCTCAGATGGTTTAATGTTGGTTTATTCCCACTGGCTATCTCCTTTTGGGTTTCCTTTGTGGGTAGCAGGGGCCCACACATCTCAGCCATCTTCTGCTGCTTTTCCAAAGCCATTAGCAGGAAGCTGGATTGGAAGTAGAGCATCCAGACAGGAGCCAGTGTCTATGGGGGATATCAGTGGTGCACGTGGCAGCTTTACCTGCTGTGCTGGAACACTGGTCAGTCCCTGAACTTTTAAGCAAGTAGAACTAAGCATTAATTTGCAGACATCACCAATGGCTGCTATTATTCAAGCTCCTAGCTCAATCTCCCAAGCTCAGGACAAGGATCTAAGCAAGACCTTCTTGCTCCATTTGTTAGTCACGCAGCAGCCTCTCTACTTGGTCCAGGTAGGACAGAACAACAAATATTATAGAGGGTCCAGAGTGGCTTCTCATTTCTGGAAAAAAAGGATGTAGATAAACCCATGTGACTTAACCAGTTCTATCTTCAGAAAACTTGTCCTCATCCAGCCCTTCTGTAGCTTGTCTCTTGCTGGTAACTTGCCATTCATATACCCTACCCTAAATCTTATGGGTGGGTGATTTTTTTTTTACATGGAATATGGGTGACCATCTTACCACTTGTATTCATTTCTTTCCACAATGATTCCGTCCCTACCTTTCTAAAATAGCATCTATTATTGTTGCTCTCCTGGGAGATGAGCCAGATGCAGTTGGTTAGTTCTTCCTAGGACTTACTTAGAAACTAAAAAGGCAGTCTTTCAGAATTTCAAGTAAAATGGGTATTTAGCAGATACTTAACATACTGTTCAAGTCAGTCACAACTTAGAGCTGAGGCCAGGCCAAAACAAGGTAGCCACCAACTCCAAACAACTGCACTTCAGTGCCCAGGGAGGCCCATCCTAAGCAGCATCTTCTATCTGGTTGTCGAGCCAATCTCTCTACTACCTCCACTAACATATTAATTATTTTGCAACTGTTGGTGGAATTAGCCAACCCCATCACCACATCAATAAAGAACACCAGACTATATCGAATATAAATTTGTTTTTATTGAAGCAGCAGTCACATGACCTTATATCTAGCCTTTAGGTCAGGCTGGACAGTGAACCAGCCCTTAAAAAAAAAAAGAAGTTTGTTTTTGCACTAAGAGACATAACATGTTTACATACATCATCCAGTACTGGAAATGAGCAGACTCAAAACACAACATGTGTTGGTTACCTGGGAGGTACAGTCCCACTGTTTGTGGTGTTCATATAGTTTACAGAGACCCCCAAAGACCATTACTAATAGGATGAGAATTAAAAGAAAATACAGCGACACAAAACCATGAACACAGTAATCAAAGACAGCAGCTTATACATGTTTTTACAATTGTCCCTTTCTGGGATGTTTTCTTTCAAAGCAGTGTCTGCGAAGCTTCCTCTATTTCAAATCCAAAGGCTTCTGGGATGGAAGCTGCACCTCTTTTGGCAGTACGATGGAGATCATCTGAAAACACGCCAAGTGATGTTCCTATTTTGATCTTAGTAACAAAGATTCATGTTTCCTCTGGAACAGAGATGGCGGTGTGACTACATATTGCAGTGGTAAAATAGGCAGGGTGGAGAAAGAGGGTTGTGTACTGAAATAAAGACCACACACTTGTGAATTTTAATTTCATTTCCAGGCTAACCTACTTTTTATTTAATGCAAATTACAGTACCAGTTAACTATTTCCAAACCAAGTCACATAGAACGAAATGTATTTACAAGGGAATGGGGAAAGGGAAAATAAACATTGAGCATACTTTTCACAAAAAAGTTTATATTTAAAAAGAAAAAAATTCAGTCACAGAGGCATTCAAGTAGCAATAATGTTATACAGTTTTGCTTTTTCCTTTATATCAAGACAGATTTGCACAAGTGTTTGCAATAGTTTGTATACAACCCACAGTCCTTTATATATATATATATATATAATAAATTTTGTTTTTTAGATCTGTTTTTAAGATGGAAGTGGTCACGCTAATTGGTATGTGTACAGGCCCAAGTGATCCATCGGCAACACATTTATAAATGCAAATTTTACAGGCAAGCACATTTTCATATATCAATCTGTATCTGCCTGTAGACAGATATAAGAAAAAAAAAGGTTAACACAAGGAAGTCTACTTTGCCAAGCTAACCCCTTATGTTCTGGTTGTCACTTTGCTTTTATTGCGGAGGTGCAAAACGGAGCAACAAACTTGAATAAAATGATATAACCCTTGTGAAAATAACCCAAATGCCAGGGATTACTTTCCAAGTCTTTCAAAGGTAGACCTCAGGCTGGGACTCTGCTGTGCCTCTAGGTGTCTCTCATTTCTGGTGGCTCAGGTATCTACCAGAAAAGACAGATTTTGTTATAAAGCAAGTTTAATTTTCCTACATGGGGGAGAAAAGTATTCTGCTCTGTGATTAGATGATCACAAACATGAATGATGGGAATTAAGATACGACTTTTGTTTCAAACAAAGTAAAACCCCCACTGGGGATCTGGCATCGGCCAAACTTCCTTTGGAAGATTCCAAAGTTAAATCCTTTAAAAAGGAGGGAAAAAAGTAAGTGAAATGCCAGTGTCTTTATATCCACAGGGATAGAGAATATAATAGTCCTCTTAGAAACTTCCACACTGGTGAAGACAGGCTGACTGGTCAGGCATTCTGTGTTAAGACACAAACCAAAAGTATGTGTCTAAAAATTAAGAGGACTTTTAAAAATGACACACGTCATTGGAAAGAAGGTGCAGTTGCCTTGCTGGGATGAACACATGTTTCAAAAAATAGCAACCTTTGGTTTGGTAAATTTTTTTTTTAATTTCTTCTACTCAAGACATATAGAGTATTTGGGAGGCAAAACAAGTACTTTTCCTTTCAAAAAAGGCCTTCATGTTGGGCAAACAGTAAGAATTAAACTGTTTTTAAAAAACTAAAATGACACCTAATTGGACGTGGGTAGATGGTCACAGAGAGGGAATGGACTAAAGTTCCCCTGTGGAAACGACAGTCCTCCGTCAACATGGCAGCACTCTAGGCCAGTGACTATCAGCCATTGCATTGTAGCATTTCAGGATCCCATGGAGCAAAACTTAATGCTACTAGGAAACTCTCATTTATTAAAACAAATGTTTTACCTCTCTCATTCGGAAGGAAGTAGGTAAGGAGTAGAGTGAGCACGTAAGGCTCTCAGAATCTGCCATTAGGACAGAGATGAGTAATACCTGGTCTGTTTGCTATCCTTCAGCTCTAGGACTCTCTGCACTCCACTAAGTCCCTGAACAGTCTAGGAAATGAAGCTGGTCACTGCTGAGGAGGAAACAGGCGTCTCAGGACTAAAACAAATGCAAGATTTCAATGAGATTACTAACATGGTTTCCTCTTCCGGCTCCTGAGCATGGCGTCTCACTGAAACTTCACTGTGGAAGGGGCAAAAAGATACGGTGGTGACTGAGCTCTTTTTTCAAAGGGAAAACTGATGAGCAGGGAAGACATGGATCAAGAAAATCAACTTAAATCTCAAAAATGAAAAACAGAAACAAAAGAACACATGGAAGCGAAGGCACTCCAAACTATATAGATACACTATACATTGCTAGAGTTATTGTTACAATAATACAGGCCGGTACCTACTGTACAGAGTTAAAACTATATGGCTTTAAAAAGCTCGTCTAACATTTTGTCTGATTATTAAACAGAATCACTGCCCTGAACAGTAACTTTTTGCTCGTTAATAACAGTTCCTGGGTCCACATATTTACATACAAAACAATAAAACTTAAATTTAAAAACATTGAATATAATGTACAAGCTTGAATTTGGTGAGGAGCTTTTCTTACTATTATTTACAGAAAGATACTCAGAGACCTGGTTCTCACTTGTATAAAAGAGTTCTGTGATCCTGCCATGATCCTTGAGAAAGAAACATCATGCACCTCAGCCCACACACGCGCACACAGAGAAAAGCACTGGACTTTTCTCCAACTCATATCCCATTTCTTGGGGGGGGGGGGTTAGGAAGTATTTCCTAAAGAAGCACTAATTCTTATGGATTCTAGCAAGTACAACAAGTCCAGAGTACTGTCTGTATCCAAATGTTTTTGGCTGGGCAGTTTGATCTGAAAACAGATCCATTTCTGACACAGTCCTGCTTGTTTAGATTCTTTATAGATCTTTTCTGAAGACGGTCTATCAGACATTCCCTTAAAGGAATTAAGCTGTTGCATATTCGGATTTCAGGCTTCTTTTAAATCTTAATTAGCTCTCAGAAGCACTATTAATAAAAACGAAAACACGACTTGTTTCATTTGGTTTGACTGAGTATGTTTCCTTTCTCAGGAACTCTGATAAAATCAGAGGTTTGAGAAACCCCTTTTGTGGTCTACCAGTTTAGCTAAACAGTGAGTGAAAACCCAGATGGCTCCCAGTTGTCCTCCTGGGTGCTGGTTCCCATTAGTAGGCAGGACGATGCTGCTGTAGTCCCACCGCGGGTCAGAAGCAGGACAGGCTGTGAGGGCCTGCGTGAGGACTGCCAAGAGACTCATTTCCAAACCATCCAGATGGTGCGGCCCCCATCACAACCACAGGTAGCAATGAGGAGGGTGAAGGGAAGTTACACAAAAACTAGGGCTGGGCCTGGCCGCCCTAAAGTTAGTTACTGGCTACCCTTGGAAAGTGTGTGGGAAAGGAACAGACAGGAGGGAAAGGCGGCCATTACTCATGTGATCTTTAAATGTAAAATACAACTGATTGTGCCTTAAAGATTCATAGGTCAAGTAATGGCCCATAAGCACCAAGGTGACGATAGTTCAGTTCAGAGTATATAAGGCCCACATAGATGTCAACCTTAAAGTTGCAAAACAAACTAGTTGTGAAAATCTATTTCCTCATTGCAAACGTAACCTTTCCATCCTTCTTGCATTCCAAGGAATATTGCTTTTTCTTCAAAAACAGAGACAGATTCTTACAGTATGAACTGATACACAAAGAAAACAGAAACAAAAACTCTTAACAAGGTTTTGGGGGAGAAACATTCTTCTTATGCTTCAACCAGTCAGTTTTGATATTATAGACAAAACAAAAAGAGGCAGTATTCAATATATGTATATATAACATATATACACACATTTATATAATCAGCTTTCCTATAAAGTCAGCAGGTACAGGTGACTGCTTATCATTGTGATGTGTAGTTTTTAATACCCCTACCATCTAAAATCATCATGGCCTATCTGACATGCATCAATAAATAAATTTAAAAAGCATGAGGTTAAAAAAAGCTGAAAATTAAATACAGATTCTAGATTTGGATTTAAAATTAGAGCTATGTATGTAGAATGTGGCAAGTTCTGCAAGCTCAATTTTCAGTTTATAAAATATGAAAAATAAACCAGTAGACTGTTGCAGTTCACATTTAATTCTAATATCCTCTCAAGTGTATCTTTCCAAGGGAAACAACTGCAGAAAAACAGTCCAAACTCCTTCACAGTGGTGAGATCTGCCCCTGGTCCAGGCTTCTCAGCCCTGACCTCTGCAACCTCAGGGGCCTGCCCAACACCCTCCTCTGTCTCCTCCTATGTCACTAGGTTCAAACTGTAACATGATTTGGAGAGAAGCTTTGGTCAGGCAAGTAAAGATCCAGCCGCTGAGCAGGCATGTCAGAGTCCTGCTCGCTACTGCTCCTACAGAAGCTTCTTCACCACCAGCCCTGATTAAGAACAACAGAAAATCCTGGACAAATTGATGAACAATTTGCCTGTTGGAGTGTCAACCTGTATTAACTTCCCTCAGTTACAAATGATACACTTTTCTTTTTTGTCTGCCACACCTGCCACCAACATGCCAAAGGCCAGGTTTTCAAATACCCGAGGATGTGGATTCATTTTGCAATTGACATTTCAAGTCCCTGTTGAATTATACCCACTAAGCTCCCAACCAATTTCAAGCTGTGTACTATACCAAAGTCTTACACTTTTGAAAAGAAAACTTTCAGCACAGAATAAGGTTTTCTTTTGTGGAAGGGGCATGAGGCAGGAGTCCTGTTTTTAAAGTATACAACAGCAGACTTTTGATTTAAAAAAAAAGAAAAAGAAAGAAAAAGATTGTCGTGGGAGACAGATTGTGTGTTCTAGTGCTCCGTTTTCCCCTCCCCACAACCCCTCCCACCCCTGGATTTCCCTCAAAGTGAGAATACAATGAAATTGTTGTATTTATAGATATTTTACAAGGTTAAATAAGAACAACAACAATAATAAAAAATTGAACACTAAAATGAACAGATTTTTTTTCTCTTTTTAATTTTCTTTCCAAACGTGACCAGTGTTGCTGAGTGACACTCAAGTAACTGGTGGTTCCTCCTGTGCAGCTGGCTGCTCGGGACTGCTCAGGTGGAGTTGGAAGCTGATGCAGAAGCAGCACTATTGCTTGGGCCTCGGTCTCCAGCATTAGCATCTGTGAATGCAAAGTCCCAAGAAAGCATAAGCAATGCTGTAATATCCCCCAAAGAACAACCACTGTGTACTGTGTAGATTTCCTAGTGGTTATCTGGAATAATGTTTTAAACACAATTAATGCTGCATAATTTGAATTTCTTTCTGTTTGTGGCTAAGTCCATGTTTTGGCATGATCCTGGTAGAGGGAACACAATGTCTTTGAATAAGTTCGACTCCCATAATCTGTGCACACTACAGCGGGGATCACTCAGTTGTAGTCTGGGTCACTTGAAAACAGATAAACAGTGGGAAAATTTGCTAACAATTCTGAATTGTGTGATAATATGCCATCTGTTTAAGCAGGCGAATGGGTGGAGGCAATGAAAATAATATGGATCCGTGCTGATATGCAGTAGTACACAAATCTCAGTTGCTTATTTTCTAAGTACATTCACCCTCTGTTATTCACACAGATGAAAAATAGGCAACTAGTAAAAAAAGAAACAGCCACTATTGCACCAAATTACTTTTTGAATTAAGCATCTTATAGTCACATATGTTGGCCATAAGAACATACGTTGCCCAGTCCTTTGAAAGCATGACAATGTCACATCTAACCAATGTTCCCATTAAAGATCTATCATTATTTCACAGCATCCTTTAATATTCAAGTGCGCTTATAATTATACCCAGATTGGCCCAGTATCTTGGTAGGCAGCAAACAACTGTTTTCAGTGGCTAATCAGGTTGCATCAGCATCTGGGTCATTATATCTAATGACTTGGAGTGTACTTGTTTCCTTTTGTGTTGAAGAATTTATGCAGAAGCCCTGAGCAAGAGAGATGGCTTGAATAGGACAGGCCACCTCCCAGGACCACCTCTTTAGGAGCTACAATCCTTGACATCAAAAGGAATCCAGGCGCCTTTGTCTTTCTAGGACTGAAGGGATTTGTAGATCTCTCATAATCTATGATAAGCAGAGAAACCTACACCATGGCTAAACGCAACGTTTGGCACTAGACACAAGTTACTTACTGGATACATAGGAAATCTTAACTGAAGGATTAGCTGTCTGTAAATATTTCTATATTCACTTTAAAAATACGATACTTATTTTCTAAGTTCCTGAGTTTTTGCTCCCCAAACAATCTGCTGTCACATACATTTAACTCAGGCACTGGGGAAAGAAACATGAATATCTTTTAATTTAAACAGTTAATGTTTTCTTTTTTCTCCCTAAAACTTTTAAGAATATCTTTAAACTTTTAAAAGTTGTGCAAAGAATTCCCATGTCTCACATATATCTTACATTAGTGTGGTACACGTCATAATTTACAAATTACACCCAGCTTTCCCTGTGGGCCACTCATATTAGTACAACTTGTCGCAGTTAATGAAACACACCTAGGTTCCCCTTATTTATTTATCCAGACTTCCATCCCTCTTAGTCTCTAAGTAATCAAGATTTTGTGTTCACACTTAGTATATATTTTTTATGCTATCATGTATGAGGGAGAACATGTAGTATCTGTGTTTTTGTTCACTCAATATGATGTCCTCCTGGTCCATTCATTTGATGCAAATGACAATTCTGAATCTTTTTTTTATGAGTGAAAAGTATTATACTTTGTATACATGCCACATATTATTTATCCATTGATCTGATGGAGATCTTGTTTGATTTTTTCTCTCACTATTGTAAATAGGGCTACAATATATATATTCGTGGAGCCAGCATATCTCTGATACAATTATTTCACATCTTTCTGGTATATACCCAAGTAGTGGAACTGTTGTATATTATGGCTATTCTATTTGAAGTTTTTAAAGAAATCTCCACCTGTTTAACACAGTGGTCATATCAGTTTACATTCCCACCAACAGTATGCAAGAGTTCTCCTTTCCCTACATGTTCACCAGCATATTTTTTTTAATAACGGCCTTGTGTAGTCATTTAAAAAAAACATATATTTGAAAGGCAGAGAGAGAGAGAGCGCGAGCGAGAGAGAGAGAGAAAGAAAGAAAGGACAATCTTCCATCCACTGGTTTACTCCCAAATGGTCACAACATTGAGGCTGGACCACCTTGAAGCAGGAGCTTGGAACTCTAGTCATTACCTGAGCCATTCTCCACTGCTTTCAAATCAGAAGCATTAGCAAGGAGCTGGATGTGAAGTGGAACAACCAGGATTTGAAATGGTGACCATGTGGGATGCCAGCAACCCAGGTGGCAGCTAATATACCGTGCCCAATGTGGGCCCCAAATCACAATTTAATTCATTAAATTTCTGCAAAACCCCCATAACTACTCATAAGTGTCTTACCATGTAAGTAAGTGTGAACATTATGGCATTAGAGTTCATTAGGTTCTCAGCGATCACAGCATACAGTTTTATTAACTTATCAATACAGCATATGAACAGGTGGCAACAGAAGGTACAGGAATAGAATCTATGTGTTTTTTTTTTTAATTTTTGGTACAATTATGTAGGGTCTGGAATACCCTCCAAAATCTGACCCCCGACTTATTTTCCCCATATTGTTACAATATTATAGTCCTTCATAACAAGTTATAATCCCATCAGTCTGTTATTTAAGTGTGCCCCGACACTGCTGGTAGAGACAATGAGAATCTACTCTTAAAACCCAGGTAAGACTGCCTTTTCTAATAATTATGTCTAATATTTCATTTTTGATTGCGGTCTTCCTCAGGCAAAATTTGCTTAAAATGAGTTTCACCAACAATGACCATCTAAATTCTCTAGTCAATACCAGTATCAATTAGGCTCTTTCCTCCAGGTCATGTAGGAAGATGAAATGAAGTGGAGCAACTAGGACACAAATCAGTGTCCACGTGGGATATTGGCAACACAGATGGCAGCTTTACCCCACTACACTACAATATTTTCCTCCAACAACATATACTTCAATACTAGTATATTAGTAAGAGGACATACTTTGGGTATTCTAAATTAGATCTTTTGTGTTTTACATAGTAGCCTGTACAGTTGAGAATATTAAGTATAATACAATTCTCTAGTTTACACTGTTCTCTCCCAAGCACAACTAACCAAGTATGTCTCATGAGAAGTCAAGTTCTCGAAAAGACAACAGTTTGGCAGCCTGAAATACTCTATTTATGCTATGTAGTTAGCCCAGAATGTTCCTATGCAAGTTCTTCCAATTGAAAATGCCTGCACTACAAAACAATGTCCTGGAAATCAGTGTTATTAATTAGCATGAACAAACAAGAATACTTACCAGAATGAAAATACACTCCAAACATATATGTTAAATATAAATAACATATTTGCAATGCATATTTATATATAAATACACATTGAAATAATATCCATACTATTGAAATAAAATGCCAATTATGAGGAGGAATCATTTTTACTTTTATCTTAGAATACCTACAATTATTTTGGCAATTTTGTGTGCACAATGAGGGAGACCACCACCAGTTCTTTCATATTATTCTGAGAAAAACATGCTGCAATGAGGTATCAAAGTGGCCTTCAGTCACTGTAAAAACAGCAGTGAAATTTAGACATTCTGTTTAAGCTTCCTGTTGATTTACCTGGAAAGGCAGTGGATGATGGCCCAAGTTCCTAGAGCTCTACAACCCACATGGGAGACTGAAACAGAGGTCCCTGGCTCTCAGCTTTGGTCTGGCCCAGCCCTGGCTGTTACATACACTTGGGAGTGAAAAAGCAGAAGACACATCTCTACCTTTTAAGTAAATGAATCTTAAAACACACGCCCTCCCAATTTAGGAATAAAGAAGGAAAGTAAGTAAAAGTATGTGATCTCACACAAGAAACTAAGGGAACACTTAAACATCCAGAAGAATGTCTGAGAGGCTATTCACCAACTTGTTCAAAAAGATCTGAAAGTGTTTTTGGAGGAAAGAGGAAAACATCAGATAAAATTGTTGACTTCACAGAAAGAACATATTCTGCATGCACGTGCACGCACACATACGAAGAAATACCTAGTACTGTTCTGGTGAAAATAACAAGTTGCTTTGATTTTAGGACTCTATACACAGACTTATGATATAAACTTGGAACTATAACACATAGGGTGGGATCAAACTGTTTTTGATATAGCTGAGTTTGTCAAACTGAAATAATTAGAATTTCAGATGCACAGTCAATATGAGAATATAGGTGCAGCACTTTACTTACAAAAGACAGCAACATGACATGGTCATCAAGTTGTTTAATGCCTAAAAATATTTACATGCGTGCATACTCCCAACCACACTCTTGCAATAGGAAGATAGAAGATACTTGCAATAGTAGGGAACAATGTAAACTGGGACACATTTTCTAGAAGGCAATCCGACAATACATAGCAAAAGCTTCAAAAATTCCTCCAATCTTTTGAATCTACTTACAAAAATTTAAGAGAATCAGCATGGTCTTATGCAAAAATATTTTCTCAAGATTTTTCAAAAGCAATAGTTCACCCCCTCTTCTGGCACAAACCAAACCAAACTAACCTTGGACACCAATCCAAATGTCCAAGCATTAACAATTAAATTATGGCACAGTCTTAGAGTATCAGTTAAGTATTTCACAGCTACAACCTTTTACCTTCAAAATAGCATAAACACATTTCTAAAATTATTATCTATCTGTTCAGTCATATATATACTAACTTCAAATTTAAATAGTACCTGTGACTATTTTTTAGAAGAATGTGACAAATCTCTACTTTCTAAAATAATTGTATATGTTTAATACAGAAAAATTCCCATTTTTCAAAAAAAAAGGTTGTACTTCTAGGAAATTCCACATTCCTATCTGAGTTAAGAAAAACAGAAAACAAAAGGGGAAGGGTTATGAAGAAGAATAGTGAGGACTTATCCTGCATATTCTACAATAGAGTTAAGAATATATTCTTATGGCACATTTGTAAATCTGGCTTATAGGGAATCTAACAAGGGTATGAAGGATGGCAACTCTCATTTTAAAAAAGTGAGCACATTCAATAACTGACTTAATTTGCT